TGTAATCTGTGTAGGCCCTCGGAGGAATAAATTCGGCATGGAGATCTCCTATGTAAACCGAAAGTGCTTTTAGTTTAGTAAATCTTACTGAATTCCTGTATAAATTTGATATTTGTCAAGTGTATATTTCAAATCTGCTGGAGTATTCAGTAAAGTAAAAGTTGTGGTGCATGATTCCAAGACTTGTTGTAGTCATTGGTATTGCCAGGATACCACTTACTCGTCTTATGCAGCCGAAATATACAAATCTCGCTTTCTTGAGGAAACACTATAATGCCTGCAAAAGTATTGCGTCAGTCAATGAGTTTCATAAATTTTACAGAATGTTTTCTATTCGTTGATTAATGTTTGCGAATTATCCGAGAAAACACATTTCCAATTGGGATGTAACACAAGGCTGAATTCTTAAACTCTCATCCTTATATCAGTTCAATCCAATCACACATATATTAGTAGGATAGTCTATCATTGACTTTAGAGACTTATCAGGGAATAGTCTCATCAACTTACAGTTTGCTGATGATACTGTACACCTAGACTATTAGAAGTAACCCCTGATACTGGAAAATATGAAAAGAATACCGGTGTTTGATTATAGGTGTCTGTGTTCTATCTCATGAGTAAAGCAGTATAATATGGCGATTGCTGTTGAGGTTACGCATAAAGTGTTAGGTGAGGAGGGTAAGTTAGTCTTCAAGGTAGGGAAGCTGAATAGGTTGAGATGGCTATAACACGTGATGGCATACCAAGCCATCGCCTTCCCCGAGGGATAATGTTAGCCAGCAAATGTTAATGTTCAAAGTGTGTTTTGGTCGGTCAAATGAAAAACTGGTATTGGTTCATAAAATCGTTGACAGTCAGCTAGAAGAACTACTAGATATATGTCTGCAAGTCTTTGTTTATGGCACAGATGCATTCACTCTGTGTATCTCAACACTTTTCTAAAACGTATAATCTTTATAATAATTCGCAGTATTTTTAACATTATATAAGTTGAAGGGTTACTTTGCAATGTCTCATGCGCACCGTATGAAAATCGGTCATGAAAATTTAGCATAACTAGCTCTGTTAACCAGCTGTTTTCTTCAGGATCATTATAAATAATTTTATCACTAATTGTTCCACTACACTTTTTACTCTGCTAAATAGACTACAACCTAGTTGCTGCAATACTAGCTACTTCTATACTTTATACTTCTTAAACGCAATTTCCTAGGCGTTTGTTACAAATACTTGTATGCATGTATAAAGGTGATACTGCTAAGAATGTCCTCAGGTATCGATGTATCTGGTGACCTAATGGGAAGTGCTTGTCATGAAACCAATTAATGTGCAGCATACTGTATGACTGGGACGGGCTAAAAGCAATGCAATACTGCAAATACAGTTTGCAAAAAAATCTCAGAGCTTACTTAAATATCACTTATCTACCTCACAATAATCTTTTTATTTACGCACTATTATACTCTGATCTTAACTACCTAGGACTTTATTGAAGCTGAAACTTGCTCTTTATTCATATTTGTTGCTTGCTTTAAGTCTGGTTGCTTTGATTAAAAACACAACAACACCAATGTTTGAAAAAAGCCATATTTTCATCGGAAACGTGATAGTTTCCATGCTTAGACCGATATGGTTAGCATTAAACATTGCAAATGTACACTATCATTTCAAGTACTATATAGCTTCTTCTCCTTGTATTTATCTTGTAAATATACTTCCAATAATGTATCATTCATAATCGCATTTTATACCTTTTTGCAGCTGCGCAGAAATTTCTCCTCTTCCTGAAATAGCCTTCAATCACGTAGCGACATAGCACTCACCCAGATATACGCTGTCCACTGGTTGACCATAACGATCAGCAGGAAACGGAACGAAGTTCGGGTGGTCGCTCAAATTTGATGGTGACCTTAGTGGAGGGCTTACAATTTAACGTTAACAAGAGCCTGTTCCGATTGCTTGTACAATAAACAAACAATTTAAATTTGTGAAAAAGTAATAATTTATGATACTTCAGGATTGTAATTTATAATATTACTGATCGTACCTGTAAAAATGGCATGCATTTCTTGTAAACTTACCCGTTTATACGATATATAAATTATGATTATAGCTCACGTTGTCGCTATTTATTCTCCCTGAAATTTTCGCTCGTTAAACTTCCATTTAGTTTTATGTCTCTACCTTTGTGTGGTGCATGAAATGTAGTAAGCTAAACAGTTGGGCTTTTTTGCGAAGTCATACTGAAAGCCAGGCAGAATGACACAGGCTAGGCATAACTAAATGCGAAACACTGAATAATGATCTCCAGAATTTCAACAAATGATAATTGCAGTTCTTAATCTTGTTCTTTGCTAAATGACAAATAGATATCTTTCAGTAATCTCTTCTTCCACCCGGGACTCGTCTCCTACTTTGCAAGTGTTTTTTGCGCTTTATCACTTTTGTGCTAAGCTTTAAGTTATTCAGCGTATGCCGTTATTGACTAAGGACTTAGATGACATTAGTTGAGTAAGGTTTCGGTCGTGCAAACACGAGTCCTGTGCAGGTGATTGGTTGCATTATCATTTCCCAGATGGAATGCAGCATACTGTATATTAAGGTAAATCTTCCGCCTTCCTTGGTGAAGGTGGTGTTCCTCAGGGTACTGTTATCTCTCCTTTTCTTTTTTCTCTCTCGTCTTGCATGACTTTTATCTTTCTAATGAGATCCAAGAAGGATATAATACAAGGCTCATTTCTACAACTGTCGTCCTTATTTTAGTTCACTTTCATCATGCATGTATTAACAGAATTTTCTATCACTCACTTCAGGGACTTACCAGGGAACAGTCTTGTCAACTTAGTGTATGCGAAGTGGAAACACATCTGAGGAAATATGTTTTGCTTATTACCAACTAAATATAATATTTTTCAAGTGTGGAATGTAACAAATCCAACTGCTGCACTTCCATGTTCCATTAAAACTCAGTCAGTCAGCTTTGTCACTGCAGATGCGTAGTGTCACAACTCACTACAGTGTTAATTGGCCCGAACAATTATGAATGCCGTTTCTTAAGTACTCTATGCATTTCCCAATTCCTTAAATTGTCCAGATAAAGTGCACTGAAGGAAACATTAACCAAAATTCAGTAACACGGACATAAGAATTAGTGTAAATAGAAGTGAATGAGATGGGTGATTTTTTTAAACCTGTAGTACGCTTAACTAAAATACTCATGTATATGAATAAAGCTGTATCGTTCACAAGATGCTTGTATGAAAGAGGGCACTGAAACATAAACTAAGTCTAACATGAAACACCTTGAAATTGTTATATCCTCTGGTCTTTCTTGGTAACTCTATTTCTTGTCGATTTCTGTAATGTAATCTTTACAACTGTTTCGAATATGACTTCATAAAATTAGATACAATAATGTACGAGATGCTGCAAATTCAACACTGTAACATTAATACTGTTTTCGGACAAAGCAAATTATTATTACTGTTGCACCTCGCTGCAGTGTTAACCTGCTTATACCCTTATTATTGCCGTATCCTAAGTGTTGCACTAATTTTCTCATTTCCTTGCACTGTGTAAATAGGGTGCAACGAAGAAGTAACAGCGAACTATAAGTAAGTAACGCTGACGCAAGAAATGGTAGCAGTCGAAAGAAATGAAATGAGTTGAAGACCTTTTAATAATACTAGTAATCTCCCTTATTCCAAAACAGTACTTGACTTATTTACCTATGCATTTTAACGTTTCTTCTAATTATCTTATTTTTGTCTTTGTAGACATTGCCTAAGATGCCGTTGTACGCATCGTCTGGAAGCAGCCTTTAATTTCATCTACCTTCCGCGAAGTTTGTCGTACGAAACGTCGAAATTTTACTGACTGGAAAACGCTACAATTGGTGTTTATGTTACTGATGCAGCGATACCCAAGACTAGACACATTATAGCAACGTAGGCCTGTAATAACATTACCTACATAGTAAATACAATGCTAATTACAAAAGCTCGTCATTATCTTTTCATTGCGTACTTACAAGAAAAAAGTTTACCTTGCTTCTCATACTAAGTACTGAAGATTCCGCCTAGTACTCACTTCGACTTGCTCTCTATAAAATGCTTTCTACTATATTCGCAAATGACTATTAGACTTTTGTCACATGAAACGGTAAAACATAAGGCGTATGCAGTTTAGAAGTTAAGGTATATTTGCATTTATTGACACAAAATGTATGTACATCTTCCATTATTAGACAAGAAAATTCCCAAAGTAATTCAGAGTTGCTCGCAGCGCACTAATAGTATATTCATTACTATAATTATCCTGCATAACTGCGAAGCTTCTGTTCAATTGCCTGCGAAGTTGCAGTATCTCCCTGCAGGGTTTCTTCACTGAACCTTCACACGGCACACTACTTGGTAGCAACGGATCCTGCCAAAACCATCTGCGACACAGGCGAATTACTTTGTCAACTAAAAATATTAATTTAAATATTAGTAAGAGTTTGATTTACCTGTAAACTGAGGAATTTGAGTGTGACATAGCATCAACCGTCCTAATGACACTAAGGTAGTGATGAAATCTAAATGGTTAGAAATCAATGCATTTACCTTTCAGGTGTCGCAGCTTTAACAAGACGATATAAAAACCTGCGTACAAAAGGATTTCGAGTCTAAATGCATCAAGTATTAATTAAATTCACCTCACCTTCCTGCTGAAAGCCCGGCATACATGAAATGCACAGATGACGATTTTCGCCTGAATATGACTATTACGCACGTCGGATATCTCACAGTTGGCCGAATCCATTACGAAAGTTTCTGTGATGGACGTATCCTGCATTATTCTTTGGAATTGTTCAAGTATCCAAGCTATATCACATGACCTCTCTCGTCTCGTCCATGCCAAAATACAGGCCTGCTATGACTCATATTGTCTATTACCACCAACTGAAACAGAGAATATCTGATTAAGATTTGTCAACCGTTTCACGTATGACCTACCCGTCCTTATTGGTGTTGTATGTTGAGTCAATACACACCACCTCTCCATGTTTCCGATATAACTGCACCTGTGATTCCAGGGCGAAGCAAATTCTCCTGGTTATACCTGTATTCGAATCCACGTATTCAACCACATGACCGATTTGCCTTATTATGCGCATAACATCTGATCTCAAAGGTATGGCTTCCAAAATAACTTTAAACTACATCACTTACTTGGTCTCACATCCTTACGTAAATTATACACATCTGTGCTCGTCAAAATTTTATTAAAATTCTCTTCAGCATATTCCAAAACATCACCAACCTCAGATGTAGTCTTCACAACTGGTGCAATATTCTCCTTTTCATCCCCGGAAAGGCGTCTAAAATATGGATCACCTATCATAAGACTCTGTTCACATCTGTGATTGTGAACAGTTTTCGCGGAACAAATGATAAACTCGTCCTCCTTGTAGCGTATACGAAAGCGAGATTGGCAACCGGTGTATTTTGCACTGCAGAAATAAATAACAGAATTCTTATGGTTTGACGCGTAAACCTGAACCTCTAGTTTTTCGCTTCATACCATATGTACAACGAAAGACTACTAATTTGTACTTCAAATCCTGAGATTCATGGTCCCGTATGCACTTTTTGATTACATAACGTGTATGAGTTGCCTAGGAATACTCTGTCATACATATATACATATATTAGTGATTCCAGCTGACTTAGAGCATCTTCTACTTGAACCCAACTGGTATACCGGTGACTAAACATAATTCCGTCAAAAAGTTTTTTGATATCCACTGATATAGGAAGGGCAGGTTGGTCGCCATTGTCTCCAAGTGCCAATGCGTCCATTCGGTACCACTGTAAATGAAAACGGAAGCTTTTCAATAAAAAATTCATGAATAGCCAACAGAGTACAGTAAGCAACTTAAAAGAGACATTGACTTGGAAACTATAGCGGAAAAAAATATAAATTCCTTACCACAGTTACCGTTTTGGAAACTTCCTGATTATAGCCATAAACATTTACTGAAACACTCGTGAACGACAAATATGGACACAAGTGATGAAACGAAGCTCTACAGAAATCATTGAGACGCCACAAACAGGAGGATTTTAGGTGCACCCTATAATTTTCACATGAAACACATTCTCAAGCATCCTCCTGCACCATAACTGCCTTCAGGCCTAGAGGCAGCTTTTGACGACTATTCTTAACAAAATCAATACAGTTCAAGCCAAACAGAAACCAGAATCACGTCAAATGCAGCTACCTAGATCAAACGAAACAAATCAGCCAAACTGAAATCAACTAGACCGCGCAAATGTCCTCAAGGTTCAGCTGGAGGCGCCACTTCAAACAGGGGATATGCCTTATCAACGCCCTATATTTGCAGATGTAAAGCTGACAAAACGAATTCGCCAGAAACGGAGTCTTCTCTGAACGTCTTCTCTTTTTCTATAAAATAGTAGAACTTGGAATTATATACAAAGTAGGAGGAGGAGGTGGAGAAGTTTCTTCATTGCGTACAAATCAGGGTTTTCTACGCGGATCGCTAAGGCCTCGGCAATGCAAAGTATACAGAAGCTTACCGTTTTCGGGAGGCTTCTTTTGACCTTGTAGATGACTTTGAATGAATTCTCCTTGCATATTGAGTGACCAGTGTTAACTTTATGTTCAATTATAGCACTGTTTATTGATCCACTTTTACCTTTTTGCATAGAAGCGGGATAATTTTCTTTGACTCTTTTAAATAAAACACGCATCGAAAGACCTATATATCTTGCTCCACATGAGCAAATCTTCTGTGCCTGAATATCCGCTAGTTTCGTCAGATAAAATGTGTTTACATAAGGTATGTGAGAAATGCATTTTGTCGCTAGTGTAACTTCGAAAATCCGAAGACCCTCTCTTCCCCTAAGAACTCAAACGAATAAAAAATACATAGACTTAGTAAAATGTCATATCACTACTGTCTTTGTATTTATCAAATCACTTTTTGCGATGACTAAGCCTCATAACGATTTTATAATAAAGAAAATTTTTATAGTTAGCACTTTAAATGAAATCTGAAAAAGGTGTATTTTCTAGAAGTGGTGGGAATTCGTGATAAATCCTTTCAAATTTTTAAGTGTCGTTTTGCAAGGATTTCACTGATTTCAATCCTGATTACGAATTGACATTAATTAAGGAACCACTGAAAACCAGGGAGTACTGGACAATTGTTTCATTCTTATTTGTGACTCTTTAGCAGTAAGCACACATCACTCCACCAAGGATCAGACCCAGGACCTTCCGGGTATAAGGCGAACTCGTAAACCATTCAACCACTGCGATGAACTCCAGTGGCCCAATAATTCTAACTTCTCCCAATCCGCAATATGGCGCTACCTCCAGTCAATGTCACTGATGAATATCCGTCCTCATATCTGATTCGGTGGATCCCATTGGTCACGACTTCGCATTAGAACTTCAGATTTCTTCATCTTGTAGTTGGGTTTGCAAGGATTTGATTGATCTCACTTTTTTTCATCACGAATCGGCTCTATTTAATGAATCATGGCTTCAACTCCAGTTTTCAGTGTGGACATTTTTATAATTGCCACTTTGAACAAGCAGTTTCGGCACTGACAACTGTATTTAACCAACTTGTTTAATTTCGCGCCTAATGGATTTGTTTTTTTTAATCGTTCACTGAAATTACTTAACATTGATCACATTGACAATAATCTAATTATTTATGCTTCTAGTCTCTTGTTTTTTTGAGTGCCTCCATTATTTCTACAGACACTAATACTACTACTATTACTAGTAGTAGTAGTATTATTAACAAAAGTCATTTCCTATATGAGATCATATTTATTATTAGCTTTTTCTATTTGGTTGAAAGTTTTAAATCACAAATAAAAACTTCCTCCTACTAGTAATTTGCTCAACAAAATAAAAGGAAAGAAGAAGAGAATTTTAATTAATATTCAAAAACAATCTCAACTATTGTAAATTACCATTTGAGTAGGTGTTTAGCTAGAGATGAAAATGCTAGTGATACTGTACTGTAGTACTTTCTATTTGATAGAAATTAAGTAAGTGAGTTTAGATTACATTTGTTTGTCTGTTTGAATTGCTCATTGGGAATCTGCTGTTTCTTCTCTTTGTTCAAGACAATATTGAACAACACTTACGCCATTGATGTTTACTGAAGATGGTTCGCATTAACACTGACAAGGTAATTAGGCCTTTTCCGCAGCACAGCTTACAATTCTCTCTCTCTCTCTAAAAACTTTTAATAGTATTTAGCGTGTACCAATTTATTTCTATCTAGTTGGGAAGACGGAATTCTGAGGGGAAAAATAAAAAAAAAGAGAGAGAAGAATATTTAGAATTACACTATGACATAATTAAATATAGAATATTCTTCTTATTTAGGGGGAAATGTAAAGTGAAGACAGGAAAAGGTTTCAATTAATGAGTAACTTTTCATTCAAGAGTAAGGAGAATTATTATTAGTAGTATTCAATAAGCATAAAGCAGAGAGAGAGAGAGAAATGGTGAGTGGAAGAGAGATGAAGACAAACCATCAATCTTGTTTGATTTGTAATGAATGAAGCATCTTCCTTGCTAATTCTGTATGTCAATTTTTTGTTCATTCTAAGTTAATCTGTCAGCAATAAAATTAGTGACAAATTACTCATAGAACGAAGGATCTTCAATTTTTGTCTTATAAGGTAATAATGTCTTTGAATTCGAATTAATGGCTGTTAAATCAAATTTTCACGTAAACAGAACACTCCGCTTCTGTCTTCCTTCAAACCAACAAAATCAAAATGAAAATCAAGCGAATACTTTTATGAATAAAGAGAGTACAACAGGTTTCCATAATTTTTCGTTCTGGCATCGATTGCATAAAGAATTTTGTTTCTTTTTTCATTCCTTGTTTTCAGAGTAGAATGTACAGCTTCAACGTTTTGGTGGTGGTGGCATTCCTTTTACTAGGGAAGTTACTAACCTCACACATATTCTTCCTTCTTTTCTCCGGCTTACTGTCTGTTGAATATTTTGGTCTGGGACTCTTCAGCAGTACGTACTCACCGGGATTTGAATCCAGGGCCTTCTGGTTACAAGGCGAGCTCGTAGACCATTAAACCACTCGGACCCGATTCAATGACCCATGAATTCTAACTTCTGCCAATTCACGACATAGCGCGATCATTTCGCAATGTCTTCTTAGATGAGTTACTGCCTCATCTTCAACCTGCTGTACCCTACTGGTCACGGCTTCCCACTAGAACCCCAGGTTAACTGCCTGAATAGGGCCAGTCACTAGTGAGCATCAGATTAATTTTCAAGTATTGGTTTGGTAGGGATTTTGTTTAATTGCACGGAGGATTTCATCATGAGCTGGCATCAGTGAGAGAACCACCGGAAAACCTGTGAGTAGTGGGCAGCTGCTTCGTCCTAGTTCGGGACTCTTCAGAAGTACTCATCCACAATATCGAATGAAGTGATTGTGTCGGCTGGCTGGCTTGTGTGCTATATCTATTTCAAATGGTTTTAATATTCTAGCTGTTATTTCAGAGATATTTTCTATATATGGTAGGATGAATTTTCTTGTGGTCTTTGATGACGACTTGTTGTTGGTGTTACAACTCGAGTTTAAACACTTTTTCATAAAATTGTGAGGATATCCATTATTTTTTGAAGACAGTTAGTAGGTATTTTTCCTCTATTCTCTTCAACACCAGAGTAGTGCTACAGTGTGTTTGAACTCTTTTAGACAATGTCTGCACACAGTTTCTTTTGTGGGTAATTGGGTTATAACTTTTATGCTTGAGTATTTGATCTGTGTGCGTTGACTTTCTATACATTTGTGTTCCTTAATTTCTTGTGTTAGTTCTCTTGATTAAGACATCTAAGCATGTAATTTTATCGTCGAATTCTTCTTCTCTTGTGAATTTAATGTCTTCAGATATGTTTTTTTATTAATTTGTGGGTATATTCCAAATCATTAATGAAAACGAAAAACACATTCAAAGTGATCTACCAAGTGAAGAACAACCTACCAAAGGCAGTACTCTTTGGTCTCCTTTGTATTGCTGAAGCCTTAGCATTTTCAGTTGGAAAAACCAGAATTAATGTATACAAAAGCAAATCATCCAACCACTTCTACTATCATGGTGACAGCCGTGCTG